CTAGCAGTGTCTATAAAGGACGAGGAAGAAGACGCTGATGCCATTGATGTCGCATCGCCTGCACTATCGATGTCGTTCGCCCCTCCTGTTATGCCAACGAGTGTCTCCAAACCGCAATCGTCGTTTGAGGTTGACACCTTTATTGCCGTGAAGGTGGAGGCACTTCACGCAGCTTCAACCTTAGATCAACGGCAGCCCACCACGTCACCGATTACCCCACCTGTGCATGCAATAGACCTGCGATCGATTGTCGATGAACCAAAGTCACCGCTTGTATCACCAGCCAAGGCCGTTCATGTTTCACCACACCTCACCATAAAGCAATATCATGAGGGGAAGCTACATTCCATGTTGGTTAGAGTCCATCCTCGACAAATAAGGAGGCATGTCCAATCATTGGGTATGGGAATAACCACAAAATGTGTTATTCGCATTAGAGGTAGAAGAATATTGGGCCAAATAAACCCTCGGGGATTTTTGAAGAAACGTGAAACAGCTGTAGGATTGATTTTTGATGATCGGGACTTTCTCTATTGGTGGAAGAGAAGGAAAAAGGGTAGAGCCAACATGACTCCCCCCTTGAAGAAGCAGAACGAGAATCCCATGTTAAAAGGGAAGTGGTGGACTTGTTCCATGCATGGAAAAGCATAGGGGTGGCAGTCGGTCGGTTTCGTTTTAACCAAAAACCGAAATCTCGGTTTTCGACTAAACCGAGACACGACTAGTTGCTGTCGTCGACCGACCGTCCTCCAGCCTCGGTGAGCCGCAAACCGACCAGCCGATTTTTGGTTACAGCGCGGTTTAACCGGGACAACCAAAATTTGGGGGGGAAATGTGGTGGCGGTTGTGACGACGGGAGGGCTTATGTTGACGCAAGACTGGCGGTGATGGGAGGACTGGAGGAGGGTTGCCGGTTGTGACGGTGGGCGACTGGACGGGTGAAGGCGGGCGGCGCGGCGAGTGGAGGGGTAGCGCGATTGGAGGGAGGCGGCGACGACGATTGGAGGCAGGCGGCGAGGCGGAGTTGCGGGGAGACGATCTCAGGGGAGGGAGCATGAGGATTGGAGGGAGGCGTAGTCGACAACGATTGTGCACTAAAGGTCGCCGACGGGTTGGCCACTTGGCCGAGATGGAGCGATTGGAGGGCTGGAGGCGGCGGGGCGATTGGAGGGGTGGAGGCGGTTGAGAAGAAGGTTGGGCATCGGCGATGCAGAGGGCTGGAGGCGGCTGGGGATTTGGGGGATGGGACGAAGGGCTGCTAGGGTTGGGATTTGGGGGATGGGGTGTTTTATTTAGGCAAAAACGGCGTCGTTTAGGCTTGCCGGTTAGCGTCGGTTAGCCGGTTTAACCAGCGTCGGTTTTTCTGCTAACAACCTAACCACGGAGCGCCTCCGACAACCAACCGTGCCCAGTTTTTTCCGGTTTTCGGTTAGCCGCTAATCGGTGGTTAACGGTTAGACCGGCCGGTTAGCCACTAACCAGCAACCGAAATGACAGCCCTAGAAAAGCATATGGAAGTAGAGTTGGAGTTGGTGAACAAGAGGAATCAATTGAATGGGTTAAAGGGAATGCATTTAGGTTCCTCATTATGTGAAATGCCGCCATTTGGTCATCTTATACCGACGAAACATTTAGAATTTTATGGGACGGAGATGGGTTGGGAGCAGCTACTGCTTGTCCACTCAAAAAAACGCACAAGGCTAACTATATCGTGGGTTTGCATTGCAGGCTGATCCCGAGGATAATATAAGTTATTTGAAACTTGCTGAGCCGGGGTTTGCATTGCAGGCTGAACCCGAGGCTAATATAAGTTATTTGAAAGAAATTATTCAACTCTGCACCACTCCCTTCCCTACTCAATTTGTAGGAGATGAGTAGATGATTGTCCTCTGATTCTATCATTGTTTTGGAATAGTCTTTCTGCCGACATACTAAACAATTGAGCTCCCACTCTATCCATAACAACAAAGTCAGCCACTCCTGTTTTGTCCTCAACTCGAAAATTGATCCCAAATCTGTATAAAGTTGGTAATAACATAAACAAAAACACTAAAAATTATTGAAGTATATGCTATTCTTAGGTGCTAAAAAAAATCTATAAATTATTCAATAAATAATACGAAAAATAGTCTCATTAGGTACGGTAGGTGGGTAGAAGAAAAGCATAGTCTCATTCTCATATCCATTTTTTAATATTGCACACCAATCTCTTGGAATCTCTTTATGTTGAGCATATCTAATTTAATATTTTAATATGTACATAAGCTTTCCACTTGTATCAGTACCATGCATTGCTAATTATTAAGGTGAATGTTCTTTTTTGATGCATCAGTAATATAATCTTTGAATTCTACGAATAAATATTGTTTTATAAAATGAAATATCCAATCACTTAGCATATACATTCCATCAACAAAAAATACCAGATCAAATTTCATATTAATAATGGTTACATTACCCTAATGTTGTTGTTTTTAATGTATTTATGCAATTCCCATAGAAGTACCCGTCGAAATATTTTTCGAGTTTTTGTGGACAGGTTCCACATCCAGCATAGCACCACCCGTGATTAACCTTGACAATTTTGCATTTGACTGTATACATATTTCCCTATATATTATAGTAAGGTTAGTATTTGATAGTTAATGGCTAGTTAAAACGAAATTGATGCTTACTTCTCCACTCTCATTTTTAACAGATAGCTCATGTAGTGTTTTGCTTGGGATTGACTGTTGAGTTTTTCTTGTACTGATGTAGGAATTGGTGCATCGCTGTCACTTGATTCATCCAAAAAGAATGTTAATTAATGTCTATTTGTTCCTTGAAGTTCAAACTTATAAAGCATAAACAAATACGAAGATTATTTTGAGAATTTCACCTTGTGCCAAAATTAATGACTTCCAGATTTCTTAGATTCGCCAGCATCAAGTTTGCTCCAGCTAAATAGAAGATGTTCTTGCTTGCAAATTTGGTAATGTTTGAATTATTTGTAATTAAATTTTTGCAAATGCTTGTATTAATAATAAAGTAATTTAAACATATCTTTATCATTGTACTTATCGACATTGACACAATAACAGGATGCGTGGGTGATCACCAACATTTGCAAGGATGACATTTAATTATGTAACTATCCTACAAAAGAAAGTTATCTTGACAACCAATCCCATGTATCCAAATTGTATATTAGGTTTTCTATTAGAGGTAAAGTAATCCATGCTATTTTAAACTAATGGCAAAAATTTACTTACTCGGGAAGTTTTAGTTGGAGCTGTTTGTGGGCAACTTTTCCAGTGATTCTAGCAGTTGTCAGTAAATCAGAATACCGAATAAGCTCGCCAACAACATCTGTGGAATGTAAAAATTTAAAAGCTAATGTATTGGTTGTATACAAATAAAATTGAAGTAAATTTGAATTGAGAATAGTAATTTGAATGTGAAAGAAATTTCTTTGTTTGTACTTCTTCTCAATCTTATCATGTTTTATGAAATACAAATTGTAAGCTGGTATAGCTAGAATATCATCACATGTTTTAGTCTTGGAGTTTGACTGAAACTTGATGACCAATTTGTTTGTAATTGTTTGGTAATCTCTCGTTGTCATATTAATCCTATAGTTCTTGATAGTGTAAACTCTCAAGTCTTGAAAGAACGATTGGAAGTCCTTGATTTGACCTTTGACAATTTTCGCACAAATATCATGACCATGTAGAAGTAAAATAGGCATATCAATATATTTTTAAACTTTAGTGATAGAGTTTGAGTTTGTGTGGTTTTAGTTAGTTTACCTTTAAGTCAATAACTAACATATCGAGATGAAGAATAGCATATGTGTTGGGATTGATTGTCAACCACTTTCTTGAAACTCGACATAGAATAGTCTAGTTCCTCTTTTGAGTTATTATATCGTAGATCAAATGGGATTTCATATTGACTAACCATGCATTAAAACATCACCCAGACAATAATTTTGGTTTCACAATGGATATCAATGTAACTCTCAAAATATGTACTTAGCACAATGTTAATGACTTAATGTAGGAAGTGTGTAGTTGAATAAGGAACATAGATGAACTCTTTCTAAATTTAAGATTTTTGGCATATAATGACGACTATTGCCTTCGTGGCAAAAGTTGGAAAGTAAGTTTAGAAGTAAGATTGAAGAATTGCGTAAAAGAAACTAAGTTTAGCAAAATATGAACAAAGTTTCATTTTCTACATGAGAGTCAATAAATAGTTGATCAGATGGAAAGTTAACCATTTGGCTAAAAAATATTTTTTGAAAAGATTTAGCTACTTTTTTGTTTGAAACGAAAGATTTGACTAATAAATTATATTTATTCTATTAATTACTATTAGTATATGTCATATGATCATTATATTAGTATCATATCGTAGTATGTTAGTTTTGATAATCTTATGGTACATGTTTCTTTAAAAAAAAATTGGAATACATAATAATTAATTCTAACAACACACAATTTTAAATAATCTTAAATCGGTAGAGAGAACACGATAACAAAAAAGTGCATTGGGAATTGCATTGAGAATTGCAATGCAATTAAAATAAACTTCACTAGGTAGCTCTTTCGATTTTGGCATTTTTGTGTGTGTTTCGGATCGATTTTAACCCACCCAATAGCATCCCAAAATTATCAAAAAAGTACCGTCATTCTAAGTGATATGAATGAAAATATGGTACATCAGTGGAGATATTTGGGCTTGGAAAAAAATAATATTATAATTGCATGTGGATATATGAGCTTATTGCACTATGTTCTTGGTGAGGTACTGGACTATAAGAGACCAGACCGTAAATTGTATGGACTTGTTGAACCATATTAAAAAGACATGATGTCCAGGAATGGTGCTATCCACTTATAGGTAATTGACACGCCAAAACACAACACCTAACAATGGCCAAGTGTAACCAATGAAAGGGACTGCAGTATAGTGGCACAAGTAATAAATATCGAATCCACGGGTCTCTAGAGTTACTATTACTCAGCTTCAGTTCATTATCTAGCAAACTAGATTAAGGATTGATTAACTAAACTACTCTACTAACTAAACTAAGTAAAACTACTAATTACAGTTTGGGAACTCACTTAGGTATGATTCCCCCTAGCTCCTCAATTAGGTCCAAGTTGTAATTCATTTTGATTGATTTACTGTTGATTAAACTGCGGAAGATCCGACAGTAGCTTGGAATCTCTTAAGCCGACCAAGCCCTCTCAGTCTAACTATCCGGCAGACGACTAGTCTTCACCGGGATAGAAAGCTGAAGCAATAAGCACAGAACTCCACTACTGGAATTGGATTCCAGTACAAAGCAGTAAACTGGCTAACTCTCGTATAGCCAATCTCCTACTACCGAATGATGAGACTCTAGCAACCTAATCAGATTCAATCTATCTCAGATTGCAGCAGGAATCAGGAAAAGTTGATCAGACTTCAATTGACTCAATAAACATGCATCATTCGATTATAATCAAACAATATAGCATCCAAAACTTCATACAAGAAAGATCCTAACTCATGGAACTAAGGTTCCTCAAAACCTAAGTGAAGGGAAGTTACTCCATAGAGAAGAGAGAGACTGCAGAAATCTGATCTAGATCTTCAATCTCCATCTCCAAGCTTGATTCCCGAGCTCCAATGGCGAAGAAATCCTCCAAAATAGCTCCAAGAATGTTCCCAAGTCGCTCTCTCTCTCTAGGGTTCGTCCCTTGGGTGTTTGGGATCCAAAACCCAGCTCTCCCTCTCCTTTGGCTCGAATTTGGGTTAAAAACAGCCATTCCCGACTCGCACGGCCAGGGTGCACGGCCGTGCACATCACCATTCTGGCCGTGCACCTCAAAACGCGGCGTATCAATTAGTTGAACCTCAGCCAACTCGCACGGCCAGAATTGTATGTTGCACGGCCGTGCGTGGCCATGCACAATCCCGTGCGTGCCCACGCACAATCCCGCACGGCCAAACTGGTCACTTGCACGGCCGTGCGTGGCCACGCTGGTCTGCCCGTGCAGCTTGCTCAGCCTCTGTTTAATGCTTCGTTTCTCCCTCGTCCGGACTCCGAATCAATCGCCGTTTGATCCCAGACGCTCGTAGTCTCGTCCTCTTTCGTTTCATAACAAGCTTGCATGATGCTTTGTCCATAAAGTGAGGTAGAAATCCATTCTTCTTCAGGTCATGCCCGAGTTTCTTCTCTTGAATCGTCAATTGATCTCTGATTGACTTGAAACTTGCGCCTATGCTTCACTTTATGTGCTAGGACCTGAAATGGGACAAAGGAACACAACCTAGCATAAAATAGGCCAAAGACGCAATAATTCAAGCTCAAACAATCAAGAAACAAAGGGGAAAACATGTGCAAATACCGAGTCATCAAATCCCCCCACACTTAACTGTTTGCTTGTCCCCAAGCAAACCTAACTCAAACCAATGCAACTCTCCAGACCTCTATAGCAACAAACAACCCAGATCGTAGGTAGAGGACTTCCTAGATCATTTAGCAGCTTACGAGGTCAACCGACGCACAAGTCATCTCATAACTTCTTCGGCGAGTCGGCATCATGGCAAATAGTGAACAGAGGACAAATGAATTGTGGATGAGGAGATTCTCAAAAACAACAGATCATGGACTCACATTTTTCAAGGTGCTCTATTTTCTGCTTCTTGAAGATGGTTGAGACCCCTTTTTTTTTGTTTTGCTTGTTTTCTGATATTTTTCTTTTCTTTTCTTTTTCAAGGGTCCCAACCTGCTCTTACCGGCCATGCCAGGAGCGGATGTCTCGAGCCTCGTGCGGGGGGAAGACATGTAAGGGGGCTGGAGGTAGTAGGTGGAAATTGGGAACGAATTCCCGTCTCCCCTTACACACTTTCGCCCTATTCGCACGGGAGACGTTTATTTTGAAGCACATTTTCGAGCACCTGTTACTTTCAAAACATGATACAAGAGTCCATGACAGGTAGAGAATCCACAACACCACACAATTCAAGGGTCCTAAGATCACTAATTCACTCAATCAACCAACTTTATATGAAGAAGAAATGAGACTTCTTAAATGCATCAACATCCTCCATAGTGCTACACTACCTCCCTAGGTTGCATATTACTGTAAAGACTGTCAATTCAAAGCATACTGAGCAGGCAATTGCATGGAACACGTACTTGGAGCCCTCAAATTTAAAAATTTGGACAGTGGACTAGGCTCCAAGCACACAAACAGCCAAACATTCACCCGCATACATAATCGAACACCCCCCCCCCCCCACACTTAAGCACAACATTGTCCTCAATGGAGGAAAGATAAGGAGGGTTGAACGAAGTTACCAGATCAAGGGTGAATGATGATGTACGGGTCAGGCAGTGCAGTCCAGGAAGAGAGAGTAATCAGAACACAAACACCACACAAAATCTCACAAAGGTTGAGTTATTGACTCTAAAATCAAATAACAAAACTGACTCAACCGAGGAGAAATAGAGAAAGAAATGCAAACCGACTGGTTGGGTTGCCTCCCAACAAGCGCTTCTTTCACGTCGTGAGCCGGACGATGGCTCCTAAGTTTCGGTCCATGCTAGAACCTCCTTGAAGTTGAGGTTCTCGTCGATGAGGTGGAGTCTCAAGTCACGAGCATGTGGTGTGGCAGGTGAGGAAGGCTCATGTACTTGATGCAGATGAAGTCTCCACCCTCGAGACCTCTTCTTCTCTTCTCTCGTCTCATTGCCCCAAACCAGATAAGAAAGCATCGATTGGCCACCATCGCGTCCACCAAGAGGGACCGATGTCGAGGTGGCCTTGGTCTGGCAAAGAGACACTGCAAATGGGTCCTTGCTAAGCAGTTCCTCAAAGTTTGGTGGGGATATTACTTGCAACTCATGGCCGGTGCATGCCTCTTCCACCTCAACTTCATCCTCAGCCTGGACGCCAATTGCTTTTTCAACCCCCCTTTCTTCTTCATGTGGTATCACCCCTGAGAAAAGATCAAGAACTCCTTCTGCTTCACTTTTGTCATCCTCCACAACTTCTTTCTGCACCCTTTCTTGCTCTTCTTCTTCCAGCACGAATTGGAGAGCAAGTCTCCATGCAAGGTTCTCGATAAGTTCAGCTTGCATCTCCTCACTCGAGCCCAGCATGTCAGAGCGGAAATGGTGAAAGTTATGATCTACCACCAAAGGATACACTTGATCATGATTATCATGGGAGCTTTCTGTGACAACTTCTGTATGCTCCTCAACATCCTCATGATTGCCTTTTTCTTCCTCCTCCTCTACTTGTATGGCAGCATAAAGGTTGTCTTGAGAAAACTGTGAACAAGCTTTCTCAATGACCTCTAGGTGCTTCTTTATGCTCCGGATGGTATCCTCTGTTTCACGGGGGAAGGAAAAGTCAGTTTGGGCAATGGCCTGGATATGAGGATCCATCTCGGGAAAAGATCTCTCAGGTACTCGAGCAATCTGCTCCACGAGAAGCCTCAATTCATAGTTTGGATCTGGCTGTGGAGTGTAGCATGGCTCTGCAGAATGGCCCGTGAAGGCCGCCATGGGTAACTCCAGATCCGATGGCCCTTCTTGTTGTGGGAGGAATTCTTCTTGATAAGGAGATTGTTCTTGATATGCCCAGGGGTCTGGTTGTTCTCCGTAGAAAGGGGGTTGGTACTGGAACCCGAATCCATAGTCTTCTCCTCCTTGATTGCTCCAGGGAGTCTCAGGGTAATACCACTCGGATGGTGGTGGATACCCCCACTGGTTGGGGAAGCCATTAGGATCCATGATTCAGATCTGCACCAACAAAAACAAAAACACCCAAGTGAAAAGCAAGGGTGGAAAAGAAAAGAAAAGAAAAACGCTAAAGTAACAAACTTCTGCCTTTCCTAATACTCTAGAAAGTCCCCGGCAACGGCGCCAAAAACTTGACACGCCAAAACACAACACCTAACAATGGCCAAGTGTAACCAATGAAAGGGACTGCAGTATAGTGGCACAAGTAATAAATATCGAATCCACGGGTCTCTAGAGTTACTATTACTCAGCTTCAGTTCATTATCTAGCAAACTAGATTAAGGATTGATTAACTAAACTACTCTACTAACTAAACTAAGTAAAACTACTAATTACAGTTTGGGAACTCACTTAGGTATGATTCCCCCTAGCTCCTCAATTAGGTCCAAGTTGTAATTCATTTTGATTGATTTACTGTTGATTAAACTGCGGAAGATCCGACAGTAGCTTGGAATCTCTTAAGCCGACCAAGCCCTCTCAGTCTAACTATCCGGCAGACGACTAGTCTTCACCGGGATAGAAAGCTGAAGCAATAAGCACAGAACTCCACTACTGGAATTGGATTCCAGTACAAAGCAGTAAACTGGCTAACTCTCGTATAACCAATCTCCTACTACCGAATGATGAGACTCTAGCAACCTAATCAGATTCTATCTATCTCAGATTGCAGCAGGAATCAGGAAAAGTTGATCAGACTTCAATTGACTCAATAAACATGCATCATTCGATTATAATCAAACAATATAGCATCCAAAACTTCATACAAGAAAGATCCTAACTCATGGAACTAAGGTTCCTCAAAACCTAAGTGAAGGGAAGTTACTCCATAGAGAAGAGAGAGACTGCAGAAATCTGATCTAGATCTTCAATCTCCATCTCCAAGCTTGATTCCCGAGCTCCAATGGCGAAGAAATCCTCCAAAATAGCTCCAAGAATGTTCCCAAGTCGCTCTCTCTCTCTAGGGTTCGTCCCTTGGGTGTTTGGGATCCAAAACCCAGCTCTCCCTCTCCTTTGGCTCGAATTTGGGTTAAAAACAGCCATTCCCGACTCGCACGGCCAGGGTGCACGGCCGTGCACATCACCATTCTGGCCGTGCACCTCAAAACGCGGCGTATCAATTAGTTGAACCTCAGCCAACTCGCACGGCCAGAATTGTATGTTGCACGGCCGTGCGTGGCCACGCACAATCCCGTGCGTGCCCACGCACAATCCCGCACGGCCAAACTGGTCACTTGCACGGCCGTGCGTGGCCACGCTGGTCTGCCCGTGCAGCTTGCTCAGCCTCTGTTTAATGCTTCGTTTCTCCCTCGCCCGGACTCCGAATCAATCGCCGTTTGATCCCAGACGCTCGTAGTCTCGTCCTCTTTCGTTTCATAACAAGCTTGCATGATGCTTTGTCCATAAAGTGAGGTAGAAATCCATTCTTCTTCAGGTCATGCCCGAGTTTCTTCTCTTGAATCGTCAATTGATCTCTGATTGACTTGAAACTTGCGCCTATGCTTCACTTTATGTGCTAGGACCTGAAATGGGACAAAGGAACACAACCTAGCATAAAATAGGCCAAAGACGCAATAATTCAAGCTCAAACAATCAAGAAACAAAGGGGAAAACATGTGCAAATACCGAGTCATCAGTAATTTTATCTAAACACATTGATTATGGTAGGGTTTGCAGTCAATTTATAGGGTTTGAATATTGTTGGAAAAGACTTTATAGGGTATGAGTATTGTCATTATATTATATTTGGATATGAGTTTACCCATTTATATGAGACTGAATGAACTACATATGTGAATTTTGACCGATTTGTAAAACTTATAAAGTTTAGGTGTAAAATTGTAAGAATGAAAATTTCACGTAAGGAATGAATTGTTTCATTGATTTCTAGGAATTCTATGCCAAAAATTAATTTTAGGTACTGGACTTTGAAAATATTATAATTACCAAAATCTTGGTTTTATATGGTCATGGGTACAAACCCAAACGCATGATATGATTTAATAATTAGAACTAACCCAAAAATAGGTAAGTGTATAAAACTTGATTCAGCTTGATTCAGCTTAGGGGGAGAATGTTGGGTTAACAAGCTTGATTCAGCTAATTGAATGTCATAGGATATTTTGTTTTAAATATATGTTATTATGTGGAACTAACAATCTATGCAGAAATATCACAATCAATGATGAGGAAAAAGGAAACAATTCAAAGTGATTGCTTGCCCTCAAAGGAGTTACCATATCAAGCAAAAAGGTATCAAATCAAGGAGATACTTGCCACATAAAGGACTACAAATGAAAGGAAAGGAAGACTCACATCAACTATAAATAGTAGATTCATTTGTAGGCCAAAACACCTTTTTGCAAAGCTCTCTTCTCCCTTGTAATAGCGAAATTGTGTGATCATATTTCGTGGTATGAATAGCTTGATATCTCGGGGGTTGAGATATTCAAGCTAGGTCGGGTTTTAGGGTAGGAAGGGTATTTGTAATTGGGACTAGTGCAAGAGCAAGAGGGGATTCTTGCTTGGGAGTTGCACTAGGTGAATTGCTCTCCAATCAAGTCAAACTAAGAGTGTTGGCTTGATTGATTGAGTGGATAGCTTAGCTTGGATTTAGCTAAGGGTTGAATAGGTGTGGAGTTGCACCTATTTGGTTCTTGACACGAAGTGTCAAGGTTGTTTCAATTTCGTAGGTTAGAGAGTCTTTTATTTTAATAAAAGTTAGAGTCTCTCGTGAGATAGTGGTAACTATCTTCGGGACGTGGATGTAAAGCCATATTGGCCGAACCACGTTAAAATCGCGTGTCCCGACCAAGGTTGTTAAACCCCTATCGAACCCCTGGTTGGACCCGGTCCGACCCGAGTCGGGCTTCAAAACGGCCTCCAAAAAGCCCCCCGGTCTAACCCCTAAAGAGGGAGAAGAAGAGTGGGGGAAGAGAGGAAGATGAACGAAAGAAGAGAAATGGTGGGTGGATCATGGAGGTTAGGTAGATTTATTTTGTTGAAAATAAGTTTTTAATATATACATGTAAGTTAAGGTTTATTTCACTCATTAAATTTTTAATTACTACCTTATTTGTATATATATTTAGAAAACGTCTAAAACGGCTCAAAACGGCCGGACCCCGATCAGACCATTAAACCTCAAACCCCTTGATTGACCGGCTCAATGACTTAAACCGGTTTGACAACCTTGGTCCCGACTCATCTCTCTCTCTCTCTCTCTCTCTCTCTCTCTCTAAACCTCCTCTAACTTTGTTCTATTCATCAGTGCCAACAAGTTAATCATTTCAGGAGAGATTCTTGGCAAGTCCTTTTGGATTGCTCAATCAAGCTAGTGCTAATCTCTCACTATTGAAATCTGAATTAATTTGTGCATCGACCACGTCAAAAGTATCCTTTATTGACCCAGCTTGGTCCAACAAGTGGTATCAGAGCCCGGCTCCCTCAAAAAGATCGAAAGATCTGCGAGGAAACTGAGATCCGATATACCAAGCATGGTTGGTGGGTCATCTACAAATCATGGTTCTAATTCTACTCATATGGAGGGTCTTTCATATGTTAGACCGCCATGGTTTGATGGATGTAGTTATTCCTTTTGGAAAACACGTATGATTGTTTTCTTTAAAGGGATGGGCTTTGACGTTTGGAATGTAGTTGAGAATGGTGTGGGTGATATCAAAGATGATCCCAACACATGGTCTAGCGATGATCTAAAAAAGATGGAGTTAGATGCTAAAGCTACAAATGTCTTATATTGTGCAATATGTCCAGATGAATTCAATAAGGTGAACAGGTGCAAAACGACACATCAGATCTGAAAAACCTTGGAAGTATCACATGAAGGGACAACTGAGGTAAAAGAATCCAGGATATATCAATTGGTGCATGAATATCAAATGTTCAAAATGCACCCAGGTGAGTCTATCTCTGATATGTATGTTCGGTTTAATTTAATAGTAAGTAGACTTAGTGCATTAGGAAAATTTTATGATAATGCTGAACTGGTCAGGAAAATTCTTTGGTGTTTACCCAAAGAATGGATGCCTAAGAAAACTGCCATAGAAGAGGCTAAAAATCTTTCTACTCTTAGTATTGAAAATTTGATAGGATCTCTAATTAGTCATGAAATTGCCTTAAAAGCTCAAGGTGATGAGGATAATGACAAGAAAATTAAAAGTCTAGCTTTCAAGGCTTGTAAGAAGAAAGTCACAAATGATGAAGGATCAGGAGATGATTTCGATCAAGGATTTGCTCTCTTTTCAAAAAAATTCAAAAAGTTTTTAAAATTAGAAAGAAAACAAGGAAGGGGTAGTTCTTTCTATTTTCGTGAGAATAATAGGAATGGAAAGGGAAAATCTTTCGATGATCAAAAGAAGAATAATAAAATGGAAAGTGAGTATGAAGATCAAGGTTTACCAAAATGCTACAAGTGTGGAAAGAGTGGTCATGTAAGGGCTGAATGTCCTAACAAAGGACGGAGTAGAGAAAAGGCTTATGCAGTGGCTTGGAGTGGATCAGAAGATGAAAGTGAAGATAACGAAAGTGAAGCACAAGTCTATATGGCATTCGCCAACCGAGATGATGGATCCTCCTCGTCAAGATCACATGAAGATGAGGTATGTTCATCCTTTCCAACTTATGATAGTGATTGTGGCTCAAATCTTCGTAGTAGTATAGTTGAAGCATATGAAGAAATGCAAAATCATTTTGAAAAGCTAAAAGATAGATACTACAAGGTAAAAGAGGACTTGAAATTAAGCAAGAATGAAATTAAGGAATTAAAAGAGGATATTGCAATATTACGGGATGAAAATCAAGCTCTGAAGAAATCAAAGGGTAAACTCAAGAGTAATAAACCTCTTGAAGAACTAGAAGATATGAGAGTTAGAAATAATGAACTGGAAAGAATGATAATAGATTCTAGGACTAAGCTTCTTGAAGCAAATACCAAGATTGAGCGATTAGAAGACAAGGAAAAGAAGTCTAAAGAAAAAGTGCAAAAATCTCATAGAAAAAACACCTTATGAAATCTGGAAAGATCGGCTGCCAAATATTAGTTATCTTAGACCATTTGGATGTAGATGCTTTATACTTAATACTAAGGATGCACTAGGAAAATTTGACTCCAAGTCGGATGAAGGAGTACTCTTGGGATATTCTACTCGTAGTAAAGCCTATAGAGTCTTCAACAAGAGATCCTTGAAGGTAGAGGAATCAATACATGTTGTTTTTGATGAGACTGACTATATTTCTGAGCATGAAAGAGAGCAGGACGATGATAATGATGATTTGGGACTAATTCGAACGACGACAACCTCAGTCACCCAAGAAGCGGAGCTTTCACATGAGAGGTTAGTCAAATCCCAAGAGCCAAGTGCACCACCCCATATTACTAAGGCACATCCTCCGCATCAAATCATTGGGAACATTAATGATGGGGTCAAAACAAGATCAAGTAAGGACTTATATCAAGGTCAGACTTCTTACTTTTCATTTATTGCTACAGTCTATTTATCCTTGATTGAACCTAAAAACATTAAGGAAGCTTTACTTGATGAAAGTTGGCTTCTTGCTATGCAAGAAGAAATGCTTCAATTTGCTAGAGCTCAAGTATGGGACTTTGTCCCTAGACCAATAGGAAAAACTATTCTAGGACTTAAATGGGTCTATCGAAATAAAACAGATGATCAAGGGATGGTTAATAGGAATAAGGCTCGGTTGGTGGCTAAAGGCTATAATCAAGAAGAAGGAATAGACTATGATGAAACATTTGCTCTCGTAGCTCGTATTGAGGCAATTAGACTATTGTGTGCCTTTCCTTCTTCAATGAATTTCAAATTATATCAAATGGATGTCAAAAGTGCATTTCTGAATGGAGTCCTTCATGAAGAGGTCTATGTGGAACAACCTCCTTGTTTTGAAGATCATAGGTTTCCTAACCATGTTTTCAAACTTAAAAAGGCTCTCTATGGTTTAAAACAAGCTCCCCGTGCGTGGTATGAACGTCTAACCCAATTTCTAGAAAGTGAAGGAATTGTTAGGGGTTCTGTCGATACAACCTTGTTTCTCAAAAAGCTCAACAATGATCTTATGGTTGTCCAAATTTATGTTGATGACATAGTTTTTGGCGCTACTAATGAAGCTATGTGTGTAGAGTTTGCCTCTTCTATGCAACAAAATTTTGAAATGAGTATGATGGGTGAACTTACTTACTTCCTAGGACTTCAAATCCAACAAATTTCAAGAGGAATTTTCATTAGTCAGACAAACTATACCCAGTCCATGATGACCAAGTTTAATCTTGATAATCTTAATCCTAGTCCAACCCCAATGGCTACCAATATTCAATTAGACAAGGATGAAGGTGGTATAGATGTTGATGAACGTAAATACCGTGGGATGATAGGGTCGCTTCTGTATCTCACGGCAAGTAGGCCAGACATTATGTTTAGTGTTTGTATGTGTGCTAGATTTCAGTCCAAACCTAAGGAAAGTCACCTCAGTGCTGTTAAGCGCATCTTTCGTTATCTGAAAGGTACACCTACCTTAGGTCTATGGTATATCCTAGGGAAACAAACCCTGAGCTTATGGGATTTAGCGATTCAGACTTTGCCGGTAGTAGAATAGATAGAAAAAGTACTTATGGAACCTGTCAATTTTATGGTCGGTCCTTAGTTTCGTGGTTTAGTAAAAAACAACACTTTGTAGCTCTCTCCACCGCTGAGGCTGAATATATTGCCGCAGGAAGTTGCTGCCAACAACTTCTATGGTTAATGACTCAACTAGCGGACTATGGGATTATACTTCCTACCGTTCCCATTTTGTGTGATAATACGAGTGCTATTAATATGTCCAAAAACCCCGTTCAACACTCTAGGACAAAACATATAGAGATTAAGTATCATTTTATTCGAGAGCTAGTTCAGAATAAAACAATATCTATCTCCTTCATACCTACGACTGAACAACTAGCGGATATCTTCACTAAACCACTTCCTATAGATCAATTCCTATTTATTCGTAGTGAGCTAGGAATGATTTTCCAATCCGATCTTGCTAATTTTGGGTCTTGATTTTTTTTGTGTTTGATTTATTTACTGTTTATATATACATTTAAAATAAAAAATAATTAAAAAAAGATGGGGAATGTGGGTTCATTAAACCATCAAAATAAATAAAATAACAACACTATTAATAATGTGGGGAAAAAAAACGGCGCCTGCTTGCTACGAGCGCCTCACCTATCTCTGGGCGTATCTTCGCCTTTCCCCTTTTTCGCCGATCTCTGGCGATTCTTACTGCTTCCTTCTTCTCCGGAGTATCCTCGTCTACTTCTTAATTTCCAATCTCCCTTCTTGATCCCCGGCGATTCTTCCTGCTCCTTTCTTCTCTGCTTCTCAATCTCTTCTTTCCATTTCGTCGCCCACTTGCCTTCCATTTTTTTTCTTTCTTTTACCGCCAGTCGACTTGCGTTCGACTTCCTCCTTTCTGCGAAATCAGTAGGGATGATTTCCTTCCCCCATCTCTTCAGTCCCTCTGGCGGCATAAATGCAGCCTCTGCCTATAAATATCAATCCAACTTCGTCGCCCTCATCATTCAAAAAAATTAAAACAAAACTCCTTGCTCCCACGGTTCTGGCGGACTTGCAATCATGAGCTTCCTTTCCGGTGACTCGTTCCTCATGACTCCCGCTCTCTTTCGTCGTTAGCAGAGGATCATCTCCTTTACCGGGGCGCTCTATCCTCATCCTGTTGGTGAGAATCGTCACCGTCATCAACAGATTTTTGCCGTGAAGCCAATTCTGCCGATCTGTACTCTGGATCCTTATGCCTTCGCCTTTGTCGACACGGTGGATCCTATCACCCTCATCGACAACCTAGGCTGGCTTCCTATGGGTGATTCCCCTCCTCGCAGCTACTGCCCAGCTGCCGTTCGTGACTTCTATTCAAATCTCCGGACTGATGGGATCGCAACGGGAAAATTCTCCACCCTGGTTTATGGTCACCTGCTTACTCTTTCAATTGATGACCTTGCTGCATTTCTTGTTTTGCCTACTAGAGGTAAGCAGCTCATTAGTCCTCTGGAGTTCTGGTCCTACAAGTTTGACTTGCGTCGGGAGGTCACAAATCGCTCCTTTGACTCACTGGATGGTTCACTCAAGCTTCTTCACTACTACATCACCCGAGTGTACTTCCCGCGGGCTGATCGCTTGGATGTTGTTTTTCCTCTTGATTGTTGGGTCATGTCTCACGCCATCTCTGATATGCCATTGAGCTATCCTCACCTGGTGTTTAGGGAAATCGTGGATGCCGCGGCCAACGACTCTCCCAGTGTTGGCCTTCCCTTTGCTGCGTTGGTTACGTTGTTGCTGCATCGTCTCGGCGTTCCTCTTTCTGACTTTGTCACTGTTTCTGACAACTGTGTTCATCCCTCCATTGATGAGGTGTTGGTTACGGTGGGAATTCCTCCCATCGTTGATTTATCATTAGGGGGAGAAAATGATCATGGTCATGGGGCCACGGACGCAACTATTAGAGAAAGAGGCGAAGAGGCCAAAGACGAGGTGTCCGCGGATTGTGGTGCATCTGCTTCAGCTTCTGTCCGTCCCTTCAAGCTCAAGCGACAAGCTAAAGGGCCTCGCCCTTCGAGTTCTCAAGCGTCTCAATAATCAAAATTCCTCTCAAGGAGTGGTTCTCTATGAGAACCATGATCTTGAGCAAAACAATTAAAAGCCTTAATTTAGGGGGAGCTTGGGTTTAGGGGGAGCTTGGGTTTCGAGTTGTTAGTTGTTGTTGTTGCTGTTTTAAATGGTTTATTTGAATTGTGGCTTTTAAGGTCTAGATTGAGTCGGGGGGGGGGGGGGGGGGGGGGGGGGGTATCAAATCATGTCTCTTATTTGCGTTGTTGAGTGTTTTGATTGAATAATGCCCTGAGCTATACTCAGGATGAATGAAGTAATTTGTTTTCTTAATAATCTGTGGCGTAGGATGAATGAGAGATATAATGACTGTTATTCTTTAATCTTGAGCTTAATGATGAATGAAGCATATGCAGTAACAGGATGCTAAATCAAGCTTAGGGGGAGAATGTTGGGTTAACAAGCTTGATTCAGCTAATTGAATGTCATAGGATATTTTGTTTTAAATATATGTTATTATGTGGAACTAACAATCTATGCAGAAATATCACAATCAATGATGAGGAAAAAGGAAACAATTCAAAGTGATTGCTTGCCCTCAAAGGAGTTACCATATCAAGCAAAAAGGTATCGAATCAAAGAGATACTTGCCACATAAAGGACTACAAATGAAAGGAAATGAAGGCTCACATTAACTATAAATAGTAGAGTCATTTGTAGGCCAAAACACCTTTTTGCAAAGCTCTCTTCTCCTTTGTAATAGCGAAATTGTGTGATCATATTTCGTGGTGTGAATAGCTTGATATCTCGGGGGTTGAGATATTCAAGCTAGGTCGGGTTTTAGGGTAGGAAGGGTATTTGTAATTGGGACTAGTGCAAGAGCAAGAGGGGATTCTTGCTTGGGAGTTGCACTAGGTGAATTGCTCTCCGATCAAGTCAAACTAAGAGTGTTGGCTTGATTGATTGAGTGGATAGCTTAGCTTGGATTTAGCTAAGGGTTGAATAGGTGTGGAGTTGCACCTATTTGGTTCTTGACACGAAGTGTCAAGGTTGTTTCAATTTCGTAGGTTAGAGAGTCTTTTATTTTAATAAAAGTTAGAGTCTCTCGTGATCCGGGACGTGGATGTAAAGCCATATTGGCCGAACCACATTAAAATCGCGTGTCCCGACTCATCTCTCTCTCTCTCTCTCTCTAAACCTCCTCTAACTTTGTTCTATTTATCAGTGCCAACAAGTTAATCGTTTCAGGAGAGATTCTTGGCAAGTCCTTTTGGATTGCTCAATCAAGCTAGTGTTAATCTCTCACTATTGAAATCTGAATTAATTTGTGCATTGACCACGTCAAAAATATCATTTATTGACCCAGCTTGGTCCAACATCCCTAAACCAAACTAATCAGTTTCGAGAGACAAAAACAAAACTTACCTCGTCTCGAGTAAAAACAGAGCCGGAGGCCATATTTGCACTTGCAAGGCCGGCTTCTCCTCTTTTCTTCGTCTTCCTCAAGTGAAAGATAAAGGGTAAAAGCGAATAAATACACAAAATAAATACAGAATCTGGCCCAAGTATCTAACTTTTCTAAGACGATCTAAAAAAAGCAACGAAGAACCAAAAAGACGCTACCCTCTGTTTCTCTTCTAGGACCTGGAAGAGACGGTCTGTTTCAGTTTCTGGGCGTAGATCTTCAAGGAAGCAACTAGATCTCCCCGCACGTGTTGCTTCATCTCTTTATAGGCCTCACGCCATAGACCTAGGGTGCGTTTACTGACTTCGTTCCCATTGACCTAAAGGCTAAAGCCCATTCTCCTGACAGGCCAAGAGGGCCGGTTGAAGATTTGTAAATAATACGCATGGTTATAAGAACCTAACCGGATTAATAGTCAGGCCAGTAGAATCGTTAAACCAGTTATTATAGCGGTTTTGTTCATTGTTTGGACGGTTATTGATGGGCCAAGCAGTTTTTCGTGGTTCAACATAAAATCAGATGATTCAACACTGTTTAACTGGTCCACTGGTTCACTATTTTAACCGAAAAAATTTTACAAAACGCTTTAACATAAACCTAAGATCATCAAATCATAATTATTAATTTTATATATGCTTCCTCTTCTCATTCCAACCTTGTTGTCGACTTTACGTTGTAGGCTACCGACTTAAACCGTAATTTTTAATTTGAATTAAAAAAATATGGTTTCTTTTGTGAGATGGTTTGAATGATTTATTAGATATTTTGGTGATGATATGAATTTGAAATTGTTTATGGTCAATGATAACTTCATTTGTTAATTGGTGTAATATACAAGTCTTATATGTTATATATCATGAACGGTTCTATCAACAAGTAACCAACGGTTATGTAACGCTTAACCAATAAACCGTAAACCACTAGAAGTTAGTTGTGCGGCACTGTCGCGCATTATGGGACTTTTAGTTCTGGATGGAGAAAAAATTGTCAACCCGATTTATGTCGGTACGCCGGTTTTACAAGTGAAATGGTTTACTGTGGTACAACTAGTTCATGCGTCGGTTTATGCCGATTTTAATAAAATTTCAGAATAAGAATATAAATAACCTATTTTAAAACAATATTTCTGAAATCTAGATTGAAAAATAAAAACAAATTCGATATCTTCTAGAAGCATTAAATTAACGCCAGGAAGAATAACCGATCTGAATATCCTCCATCTAAATTAACCCTCTGATTCCTCCCTTCCCCTCTAAGAATAGGGTTGGAGAAACTTGTAATTTCATTGATAGATGAAAAAGTATTTACAAGCCGCTTAAATAGGTTGCAGCAAGAGAACCATACTTACAGTAATTAACTACCAACGGCTAATAAAAAGTAACTAGCAAACTAACAATTAAATAAACCAATGATAATTGTACAACTGTCTACACTCTATCGGCTAAGTGTTGTGTTTTTTTGGTAAGTAGAACGACACCGTGTAGAGAAAAACGGTGTCAAAACGCGCTTCTCCAAGTAGCGATTAAAGGACCGGTTCTCCAGGTTGAATTTGTTAAACCAAAGTTCAGAAACCGAGTCAATGTCTTGACCCTCTTCTTCTTCATTGACTTTCTTCTTCTTCCCCTCCCTCAAGCCGAGGAGCATAAACATTTGCTACTCCAAGCTTGGCAAGAAGAAAGTGAAGACAATGTCAACTCAACGCCTTGGTAAAAGTATCTGCAAGTTGAAGCTCAGATCTGCCGTGAGTAACAGTAACAATTTTGTCCAAAATGTGTTGATGAATCAAGTGACAATCCACTTTAATGTGTTTTATCCTATTGTGAAACACTGGATTGTGTGCAATATGGATCGCAGACTGATTGTCACAAAACAAAGATGCTGGTGATGTATGATTCACCCCCATTTTCAATAGCAGCTGCTTCAACCACACCATTTCACATGAACCTGCACTTTGCCTCAGAAGAGGATCTGGATACAGTTTGCTGCTTCTTAGTTCTCCATGTAATGAGTGAGTCTCCAAGAAAAGTGCAGTAATTAGTGAGAGATTTTCTTGTATCTGGGCAAGCTGCCCAATATTCATCTGAATATCCTTTAAGTTGCAATGAAGAATTGGTTATGAACACCAGGCCTTGTGTTGGTTTGTTTTTGAGATACCTGAAAACGTGATGCACAACTTGCATATGTTGATCTGTGGGTACCTTTTGACATAGCTGTTGTACCACATAAGTAATGTCGGGTCTCGTTGTAGTAAGATATTGTAATTTACAAACCAATCTTTTATAAGTTGTTGAATCTGGAAATAGATTACCTGTTGGTTGTTGTTGCAGAAAGTCTGATCTTTAACTCTATAGGTGTTAACACTGGTTTACAGCTTAGAAATCCAGCTTCTTTTAGCATATCCAGACAATACTTTCTCTGAAAACAAAGATTCCTCTTGAGGTTCTTGCAATTTCCAGTCCTACGAAGTATCTTAGTTTTCCCAAATCTTTGATCTTGAATTCCTTTGCAAGAAAACCTTTTGTCTTGACAATTTCTTACAAATTATTTCCTACAACTATAATATCATCAACATAGACTAGGAGAATGACAATCACTTCGCCTTCAATCATTGTGAACATGGATTAATCTGCTTGAGATTGCTTGAAACCAAACTTCATTAAAGAAGCAGCTAGCTTGGCAAACCATTGCCTACTAGCGTGTTAAAGTCCATATAAGGATTTCTTGAGCAAACAAACCTGTTTGTGCTCAAAATTCTGCAATGTTAAACCTGAGGGAACTTCCATGTATATCAATTCATCCAATAACTGCTGCAACAAACAATAAAGTCTTAACTGTATTAATCTTGGCTACTGGAGAATAAGTGTCCAAGAAATCTATTCCAGGAATTTGAGTAAATCCCTTTGCAACCAATCGTGCCTTGTATCTTTCCATATTGCCATCTGGATTCAGTTTAACTTTAAATACCCAACGACATCCCACTGCCTTTCTGCCTGATGGTAAGTTAACATTCTCCTAGGTTCCATTAGCTTGCAGTGCCTTCAGTTCTACCACAATTGCTTTTCTCCAATGCTCGTGTTGAATGGCTTCTCTGTAAAAGTCTAGTTCTGACATGCTAAGAACACTGAGAGCATAGGCCTGGAATTCTGGTGTAAGGTTTTTATCAGAGATAAAATTGGCTAAGGTGTCTAGTGAGTGTGAACTGGAATTGGTGGGTTTAAGGTTAGGAATTAGTTTTTTGTAATTTTGAACAAGGTATGATGGTGGTTTGGATTGTCTATCTGATCTTCTTAGAGAAGGTTCAGGTAAAGAGGGTTCAAGTGGATCAAAAGTTAATGTTTCAGCTTCTCCCTCAGCAGCAGAATCATCATGAATGGATCCCTCCCTCATGTCCTCAATCTGTGGAAGGGAAGGAGATTGAGGAGATGCAGATGGTGGTGTTGGTGATGCATGTGGGGGAGAAGGTGGTGTGGTGGGATCTGGAAATGGATCAAAAGAAATAGGGTGAGAAGGTAAGTGAATGGATGTAGTAGGTTGGGGAGAATAATCCTTTTGGCGAGGAAGGATC